ATCTTAATGATGAAATTCTTGTTCATATGCCTCAACTTCATACATTCATATTTTATATTAGTACAGAAACAGTCGTTTGTGATTTAATTCATCTGAAATCTAATGATGATATTCAAAAACCATTTATAAACACAAAATATGGACAAATGGCTTGTATCACAGAATGTTTCTATATGTTTGATAATATGTTCCATATTTATTCGCTTTCATTTGCATTTACTCATCTACGAAGAATCGGCAATAAATTTCCAAATGTTGTATTTGACAATGTAACTCACTTGGTTGTCTACGATATCAGTCCATTGAAACATGAATTCTTCATGCGAATTAGTCAATCTTTTCCAATATTGAAGTGTTTATCTATACAAAATCGGATGTACCAGTTATGGAATCGTGATGAATTTATATGTGATAACTATTTAGCATATTCAATTATCGAATATCCTCATCTTATATCACTCGACTTCATGTGTGCGCATATGGATTATGTTTTGCAACTTCTATTAGAAACAAAGACACATCTACCTCATCTAACTGAGTTAAAAGTCAAATATAGACATTTGACAGCTGTAACAATGAACTTTACAAGAAATGGAACACGACACAATTGTTCAAAAGTTAAAAGATTAATTTTTCGAAAAACCAGAACGTTTTTCAGAAGATATTTATCGGTATTCTCCTTCATTGTAAATTCAATTCTATGTTGATAGTGTAGATAAAAATAAATGATATAAAAATGTTTATATCCATAACAAAATAAATAAGAATAAGAAATATGAATTTTTTATGATCAGATATCGGGTTGTATCATATATTTCCATTGACAAATTATTCTTTTTATTCTATTGGTTTATATTTATAAGTAAGAGTTTTAAGAGGGAATTATTAAAACAGTTCTGTGAGTATTGTTGAAATTCAACACTAAGAAGCAGCAGAATATCATCTAACAAAACCTATTTTCTGTATGTAGGAGCAGCTAGTTAGAAGATATTCTATTATTCTGGTCATACTAATAATAACTCAATGACATCAATCTACTTAAATAAAATATACAATTTGTGTAAAACTTTTTGTTCCTATTGGAATTTTGATTAAACCTCAACTGAATTTAATAATTAAATAAAAATACTAACTTTCAAAGTGATTCATCAATTTTAAAATTTGGATTAACTAATAGAGAAATAAAATTAAGAAAATCTTTTGTGGAATAAACAGGACGAAAACGATTTAAATATTTAAAAAAAAAATTAAATAAAAAAGTAAAACCTCCACAAATATGACCAAGTTCATTCCAATGTCTTCCTACAGATTTCATTTCATTTTCATTTCTCTATTTAAATAAAAACTAAAACAAATTTTATTTATAAATTAAAATCAACTTGTCATGCAAATGGTAAATTAACTTGACTACACATTGTATTTAAACTTTTAGCTATTCGTTTTTCCCATGTTGACTAAACAATAAGAAATAAGAAGATAATTAACAACATATAAAAATTCATACTTGTCCTGAAACAATCTATTTCATATTTATGTTTATCAAATGATGAGATTTGAGTTGATTTAAATAAATTTTGATAATTTTCATATTGATCTTTATTTGAAAACTGAAATAATTTTAAGAAATAATAAAAAAAAGAGATTTAATAAACCTTCTTGCTTTATTGTTTTAAGTAAAGATTCAAGATCTTCAACAGGTTTTCCAGATGAGATTATTAGTTTCTATATAAAAGATTTTACAAGAATTTTTTGTTAATAAATTTATTTAAATATCCTTGAATTTGATTTTAAAATGTTTGTTTTAATTTATCAGTAGTTCAGCGTGGTACAGAACATATTAAAATTCTTAAACAATGAAATCAAAGTAACATTTGAGACTGTTCTTTTTTTTTTCTAAGAGAAAATTATTAAAACTGATTCACTTTTTATATACTGAACTCACTTGATGAAAAAGTAATTTATTATTGACTAAAAAAATTCTCATGTTAATATTGTTTCCGAAGGGGTTTCAAAAAAATTCGAAACAATATAGAAAATATTAATTTCAGTTTTCTAATATTTTGCAGTTGAAAGTCTTGAAAACTAGTTATAGATTTTCGTGTAAATATACCAATTTTCTTGAGATTTTAAATAATTTTTAAGAATCTTTAATTATGTGTCTAGCGCATCATTTATCTAAAGATTTTGCTGTATTCTTGCATAAAGGAATTTATGATAACTCTCAAAGTTTTTTTCGAAATTGAATGATAAGAATTTTTTTAAATAGATTACAAGAAATCACTATGTCATAGTTAATTTAGTTTATTTTCTCTGATTGATATTCATTAGAATGTATATTAAAAATGGAATAAGAAGACTTTTCATAATCTATTTCAAAAATAGAATAAACCGGTAGACTAAGACTTCAACAAAGATATTATTACTTGTTCTTTATTTAATTGATATGTTAGATATGAAATAATAAGTTAGACATACATTTAATCGATATTGAACTCGTGTTAAATTTAGTAATTCAAAATAAAATATTTATTTTTGTTAGCTGAAATACTTCTAAATGCTAAATAAATTAATTTACTACCAGGTTTGCAGCTTCTTCCGCTTTTTGCTGAAAGTTTCCGCTTTTTTCTCGCTGTTTCGCTTTTTTTCGCTTTTTGATTTAAAGAGGCGATGTATTTCCAAAATACGTACAGAGTAAAACTTGTTATTGTTGAATAAAGTCTTACTGTTTATATATTCAGTTAACCATCACTCTTATAATGTGACAGAGATCGTCACAGGGCACTTTTATGTCCTGCTCTATGGCAGGGCTTCTAAATTGAGTATGCTTGTAGCAAGATCTAAAATCTTCATAAAAATTATGTGATTGTTTTCGAATTTTGGTATCCATATTTTTTTAGTGTCATTTCGAAACTATGCTGCAATCAAACATGGTATGTCATTAAAATGTATCACGGATAAAAAAAGCAGCACTCTTGTACAAACTCTAAAAATATCTAATTTTATTAGATTTGTTCTGTTGAAAAAAATGATTAAAATGTTACTATTTTAATCAGACTATCGAATTGTTTAATGCGTTCTTAATGACAATATGGATGAAGGTTTTTTCTGCAAGTGAAAGTTGAGACTTCCGATCTTTTCTTACTCTTGACTACGAAAAATGGTGCGTGTAAAGCTAAGTTAACTTCGATACATATCATACTTCAAGATATCACCCTAATTGGTAATTCAAATTATAAACTTCAATGCCAATAACTTTAACTATGAAAAGCTTTTTGCTAGCATTTACTTATAAAATCAAGAGTTTTGAAAAAAATTTATACGATTCAATTTTTCATGTAAAAAAATGGTTAGAAATCAGATTAAAATCGATTCTTTTTGAAATAAAAGTTGATTGAAATGGCGCTATTTTAATCAGAGTTTTCAGCCTTAAAGACAGATTTCATTTTATTTTTATCTATTTTAATAACTTAATAAACTTTAATCAGCTTAAATCTATTTTTAATAATCAGTGAAAATTAATTTATATTTAGTGATCGATTAAAATATATTTAAAAAGATCAAAATCAAATGAAATCTATCTGCAACGCTGAAAAATCTGATTGAAATCAGATTAATATATCGCCATTTCTATCTATTTTTAATGCAAAACAATCGATTTCAACCTGAATTTAAGTCTTTTGTATGGGCTGACATACTTAGCAATAAGTTTTGCAGAATGCCCACTTTTATTCTAACAATACAAGCTTAATAGATGTAAATTAATTTTCATTATAAAAAGTAGTCTTTTATAAAAAGGCTAGCTTATTATGTGTTAGTCCAAAAAACATTCACAGAGGGTGTTGGTACGCATGGTTTAAAAACACCCACACCCCAAAACAAAGAGCATATCAACTAATATGAAATGATTAATCTTCAAGGAATAATATCAGGTAGTTGAAAAACAATCAAGTAGCATACAACTATTCACTATAGCAACATGATTTTATTACAGTAATTTCGTAAAAAAAATTTATTGAACAATGTCAAAATTAGGGGTGGTACTTTATCTTTACTTTAACGAGTAAAGTAAAGCTGAGTTACTGTACTTTACCTGTAAAGTAACCGTATTTTACCCGAAAAGTAAAGTAAAGTGAAGCATCTCTTAGTTTACAGAAAAAGTTAGATGGAGTAATATCAGATAAACTCAAGCATGTAGTTAATGATTATTGATTTATTAGCTCATTATCGCACATTAGTCACATTCTAATACGTCAAAAGTTGCATCGAAATACGGATCGAGAGTCCTGAATTCTGAAACTCTTTTTAATATCTCGAGAATCAACATTGAGCCCTTATTAGTTTTCAGGGTGTGGGTGTGAATGGGTGTGGGTATGGGTGTGGTTGTCGGTCTTCTCGTCACCCACACCCTTAGAACAATTAAAGATTTGTGGTCAAAATAAAGATTTAAGAACTCAAATGACTATAGCATAAGTATTAAGTTGTTTGGATCGTTTCTGTGAAATTATCTTTGCAAATCATGATTTTATGGCTTTATACACACAGTATCGATTAGATGTAATCAAGGACTCAAGAGCAACTTATGAACTTGTGCTAAACTACATATCTCATGGAAACTATAGATGTGTAGACATACTGTTAGATGACATGAACGAAAACTGTTTCAGATCCAGAGATGTAGGGCAGATTAAATACCATTTAGAAAGTTCTTTCAAAACCCAAGATGAAAGATACTAAAAGTATGGCAATTTAGCTAGATGGAACCATTGAAAAAGAACAAAATCATAGAGTTCAAATAAGAGAAATTCAGGAAAATGTTGAAAAAATTCTAACTGCTTTGAGTAAACATACTATCATGGTGTTACTTGACAATGAAAATCAAAGTACTCTTCGAAACTTTAATAATGACATAAATAAAATTTTGTCTAAGGTTTTCTTAAGAGAACTTCGTTCTATCGAAGCTTATATCAGTGCTGATCGTTTTTGTCATGCTGAACAAAGCATGGATAATCTCAGTTGTATGGTATGCGAATTAGCAGAAATTTGTATGTCTGATTCTGTTACTGAGAAAAGTAAAGATCTAAAGAAAAAGCTAGATGATATAGTTAGTACAATTGCAAACCGCTATGAGTCTTTCAATATAGAATATTATCCACAACATTCACCTAAGGATCTTTTAAAGAAATTAGAAACAACTGAATTATGTGATAGACCAAGATATCACGAAGCTCGTATGTATGTACTACGTAATATTCAGTAAAAGTGTAGTTCTGCTATAGATAGTCTATATGATACTCCTTCAGTGTAATGCATTGCAAAAATTCGTTCTTTAAATTACTTAATATGCTTTTGACTAGAAGAATTACAAATATCATTCAAATTGCATATCGATGAATTGAGTCAATTACTCACTGATGAAAAGAAAATGCGGAGATGTAATTTTGATGCTCATTCAAACATTGATACTCCGACGTTTTCATCATCATAGATATACGTATATTTGTTCAGCAGTGAATAAACTCTGTTTTTAGTTAATTAATGCAATGCGAATCATACCATTGATATAGTTTCTTGTGACTCTCGTTGTTTCTTTTACTTTCTTTCCATCCAGAAGTATGCATCAAAGAGAGTAAGTGTCAGTATGGATAAGTGTGTGTTTAAAGTAGATCAGCAATAAATGTTTTTGATTGTTCTTTAAATAATTTTTATGTTTTAATGTAAAAACTGAATAAATAAAGGAGTAACAAGAATAATAAAAAGTGGAAAAAGAAATAATAAATGTGTGATGTTTGTACTTAGCTAAACTGATACAAACACACAGGAACACACGTATTGTGAACTCTATTCTATTATTCGATCGACTGATCATATATTCTGGTATAAACTCAATAAACTTATTTGATTCTAGTTCTTGGTAAAGAATTTTTTCAGGTGAGAAAAATAGACAGTGCTGAAAAACCAATAAGTTCACATACAATTGTTTGGAGTATTGACTAGTACAATCAATCATTTGAGAGGGTGAGAAATATTAAATTAATAACAAATTACAATTTGAACATTACATCTTCCTCAATTACATATCATCAATGATCATGATAAGTCAATAAATTTAGCCAGTATTATCATCCGAAATTCTTCTCGTAGGTTATGAAGAAAAAATAAATTAGTCTGCAATATATTTATTATCAAAAAGCATTTTTTGGCTTCATCGATCGAGCTTGCAACATGGAATAAGTTTTCAATTTCGATATGTATGACTCCTTTTTTCCTATAATGGCATGGTCAAGAGTCATGGAATTTGAGTGTGGGTATAGGCGAGTGAAGAGATGCCTAACAGTCATACCCTTCATACCAGATCTTCGACATTTTTATGTTTTTCTTATGAAAAATTTATCACTATGATGAATACAATAAAAGT